TCGCTGCCAAGAAAACCCCAAATGGGGCCACGAAGAGTCAGAAATGACTCAACAACAACAACTGAGGCCCTCGGAAGGTCAGATGACTTAACCAGATCTTCACAGGTGGTAGATGACAGAGGCAGGTTTCAGAGTTGTAGGATTGGTATCTAGCCTTCTCTAACCCATCCTCGTGCCATTCAGATGATTAAAAAAGTGAAGGAATGACTGATTAATTGAATGAAAAGAAAAACAAAACATTTTTTAAGGTCTTCCTTGTGTCAACCACTGCACTGGAGACTTACAGAGAGGCCTAAGGCAAGCTCGTAAGGCGTTGCTTTCTCATCTGGTCAGACAACACAGAGGAGTGATGTGCAGCAAGGGCTCTTTAGTTCTGGGGAAGTCAATGGAGGTGAAGAAGGTGAGGTTAGGGTGGATGGCTGAATGGGCCGTGAGGCTAAATCACGTTCTGCCCTCTCGGGCCAGCCGGGAGGTTTTGTGCGCTGATGTCTACATGCGCACACCACTATTCTGGCCCCATTGATAAACTTTCTTCAGGTAAAATAGAAAAGTTGGGTTTGAGCTGAAAAAGAGGCGGCTGGCCCCGTAGTGTAGAAAGCAGAAGTGACGTTTGAAGAGGTGCTGCTCAATGAAAGAATAAGGCCTCTCCTGAAGCCCCCAGCATGTGCACTGCCTGCCATCAGTGGTGTTGCTTCTGCTTTGCAGATAGTTTGTCCTTTCTTACACGTTTGCATAGGTTCTCCCAGAAGTACGTAAGTGCATTATTGGAAGGGACGACTTTGTCCTGGCATCCCCAGAAGTCGGTACCATGCCTGGCACACAGCACGTGCTTAATAAACTCATCGATGAGGGTGGCTTCGGTATTTTTCAGAGAGTGAGAAAACTACATGGGAAGAGGGTGGTTCACCTGGATTCTTTAACCTGTTTTCAGTCCCATTTGGATATTTTTATTGTACACTGGAGCCCTCGGGTGGGAGGCTGGGTGCATAGACCAAAACCTCCATCCCTGCCCCCAAGGGCCTTGGCAGACTAGCAGCTCTGTTCTGATAGATTCACGTCATATTGTCACAAACATTTCACTCCACCGCTGGAAAAACAAGCAAACAAAAGCAACATTGCTGTTTAGAGCCATCCCTTCTAAGAAAGCAGGTCCCAGGGTCCCTACCAGAGTCCTCACTACTTAGTCCTGTGTGCCAGACCATGACATCCCAGTGGATGCTTCTACCTTCGGCACGTCACAGCACCAGATTCCCAGAACCGTGCCCCTAAATCGCAGATATAGGCGCTGTGCTCAGAGTTTTCTTTGTAAAACCTTAGGGAACTGTGCAGAATGTTTTCGAGACAGTTCTGCCAAAAAGCAGTGAATACCTGGAAGCGGTATTAGGCTGACGCTTAGCCCTGATGTGAGAAGCCTGGGTGCCCAGAAACATTCTTTCTCCCTGGGCTTGGCCTCAAGATGTATGAGTTTACTGTCTCTCCTGGATGCTGAGAAGAAGCCGCAATGAATGGCCTGTGTGGTGTCAGATGTGGGTGGACAGAATCTTGAGTCTTCCTGCTCCAGGTTCTCAGACTTGGTGCTTTCAGACTCCAAGAGCAGCGTGGGTTGAGGGGTTAAAGAAGTGTAGATAAGGCTCCTGGGCAGATGAGCCTGCAGCCTGGCCTCGAACCACGAAGCTGTGGACGCTGGGGAACCATAATCAGAATGGAAAATGTCCTCCTTCCCTTCCGGCGCGGGTGCAATCTGGCTTTATGGGCCCCAAACTCTATTCCGTTGGAAAAAAGGGAGGGCACGCCAGCTGTCGATACACATGCCAGTTTAGATACCATGAGGCAATATTTATTAAAAGGGCTGCATTCTGCTTGGCCGTTCTGAGTTTCTGGGCCCAGCAGCTGAAGACACTGATTGATTCCATGGGCCTCATTCGCTTCATTCTATATCCTTCCTGTATCCACGGACCCATTGAGTTCCAGTGTCCACAGCTAGCCGGCTCTCCAGTCATCACCACTAACAAGTCTCTCGTGCCAGCACTTAGCCCGAGCTGAAGTTTCTTGGGAGCCTCTAAAGTCAGTCCTCTTCCCCATACGCTCTTCCCCCAGCCTGTGGTGTGAGTCCATAGATTTTTGTAGCTGGGGGATGCTGAGAGGCTTGTCTTAGATGGGCAGTGATGAGCTGGTGGAGTGTTGTTAATGGGGTGTAACCAAAGCTGGCCTGGAGGGGGAGGGTGGATGTGCCCAGTTCATGTGAATTCTCCTGTCTTTTTCCAAGAGGCTCTTCCAAAGGCATGGTCCTGATTTGTCATCCTGCTAAAATGGAGCATCTGGGGCGCTTTGCCTTTTCTGCTGATGCGTGGGGTTATTTTTATTTATATTTTTCGCCTTGCCTCTGTTCTTGTGAATCCAGTGCTGGCACAGGTGCCAGACTGAGTGCCCCGGAGGTCCATGCCCTCCCTCTGTCCCCTATCAGGCAGGGTTTGGACCTCTTCACATCTGAGCCGCTCCCTCCCATCTGGTCCCTGACTTAAGACAACCAGGCTAGACCAGGAAGGGACCTTATAGTCATCCAGTACAACACTCTTCTTTTCTTTTTTTTAACAGATGAGGAAACTGAGGCCCAGGGATGATCAGTGACTTGTCTGATTAATTAGTAAATTCCAGAATGAGTATTTAAACTTAGGTCCTATGACTCCAAAGCTTGCCTTTCCACAGATCTAAACTGAGCCCAACTTCTTTGGGAGAAACCATCTTCAGAGGGTAAGGGAGAAGTTGGGTACCCGCAGGAAAGATTGGGTTACCCCCAGTGCGGCCCTGCTAGACCACTGAATCTTAGCACCAATATTCTCAGACTTTCCTGCCTTATAAAAACTGAATATGAAACAGGTTTCCCCAATACCCTCCCCTCAGTCTCTCCCCCCACCAGTCCAAAAGCCCAAGTGCTCAGGTTTTATTCTGTGGAGCAAACAATGTAGGATATTGGGGTCCTGGCCTTAGAGGTCATCCAGCCAAATGTTTTCATTTTAAATGAGAAAAGAGATCAGACATTATATTCCCAAAAAGGCAAGAGATATTATGTCCAAGAATAACCTAACCTGAAAAACCCAGTATAATCCTACAGGGAAGAGAAATAGACTTTAAGCAGAATAGAAGAAACTAAAGGCCCAGGGAGGTTAATTTACTTTTTTCACGTTTTTTTTTTCTCCCCCTTTTAATTTTCTATCAAGTCTGAGCTTAAACATACACAGATGATCATTTCCATATAGATAGCCAAACCCCTAAATAATAGTTGTTGGTGAAAATATGAATCTCCACTTAATACTAATTCCTTCTTAAAAAATATATAAAATGAATTCTTCATTTTATTTTCTAAACTGACCAGCTCGTCTGTGTTTCCTAAAAGCATTTAAAAAAAAATCCCCTATCTTTCCCCTCTTAAGACCCTGAGGGCTGGCAGAACATTTTACAAATATTATCTCATTGCATCCTCACAATAACCTCAAGAAGTTATTATTATTGTTATCCTCATTTGACAGATGAGGAAACTAAGGCAAACAGAGACTTGGCCACAGTCTTACACTTAGTAGGTATCTGAAGCTAAATTTGAACTCAGGTCTTCCTGACTAAGTGCCCTGTGCTCTGTCTACTACGTTATGCAGCTGCCTCATCTCACTTACTCCAAACTTGCCCCTAATATATCTAGATCTTTATCAAAAATGCTTGGCAGTCCTGTATTCTGTTAAAAAATTCTCTTTTCCCTCTGTCGAATTATGCTCAGCTTTGTAGGTTTGGATTATTTTTGTCCAAAAACCTATATCTTTGACATTGGGAAAATTATATTCCTAACTCTCCTCCCATGTTTGGAAGAAGATGCCAGATCTTCTACGACCCTGATGATGGTTCCTTGGTACTTGAACTCCCTTCCTGATACTCCTAGAGTTTTTATTTTTTCCTTTGATGTAGACAAACATCTGCGACATTCTTGAAACTTTTTTGTATTTTCTTTTAGGAGGTGTTTGGGTTCTTCCTGTCTTTGTTTTGCCCTCTGACTCTCGTAGAGCTGGGCAGTTTTCATTTACGATTTATTTAAATATAACATCCAAGGCTTTTTTTGTTTGTTTTAATCATAGTTTTAAGGGAGTCTGATATTCTTAAACTGAATGGTTTTTCAAGTCAATATTTTAAAATATCGCATTTTAAAATTTTTCTTCTAGTTTCCAAACTTTTAGTTTTATTCTAAAATATTTTGCTATCTCATAGTGATTTGTTTCTGATTGTTTTCATGCTCTGGGATTTAGTTTGTTCAGTAAAGTTTAATAGTTTCTTTTCTAAGCTATTCCTTCTTCCATCCCCCCACCCCCACCAAGATCTTTCATTTCATTTTTTAAATCCATTGTTCCATTTCTTCCAGGTATTCATTTAGACCTGGGGGAAGGATTTCCCTTTGAGTCTTGGTTAATAGTTGTTATTTAGGTACCTTCTCTTCTACTTGGATTTTTAAACATCTCTATACCCTGATTTGTGCCATCTTTGATTTACTCATCTCTCCTGCTTTTATTGCTGAATTTGAGCTTTGTGCCAGGGCAAGGCATTTGAGTAGGATGGTCATCCCTTATTGTTCTCACCCCAGACCATTTGGATTTTTGTACCTATGAAAGCTCCATCTACCCACGAGCAATAATGCTTCCTCTGAATGTCTTAGAGCTTTTTTTTGGCCATTGAGCTTGGGTATTGGGTTGCACAAGGCCATGTAGGTAGTGACTCAATGCCAGATCCAGATTTTGAGCCCAGGTCCCCTGAGTGCATGCTTGTTCCAGGCTGACTTTAAGTATTAGAGTCTAGTTACTCCATTAAAGTGTTCTGTGAAAATTATTGTGTTTGTACATCCTTCTCTCTTCAATGTGACCACCTTCTCCTGCCTCCACCTTCCAATGCTGGGTGTCTTAGGACCCTTGACATTTCCTAATGTCTCTTTCTAATATGATTTTCCCCACCCTGGTGTCTTTTAGGCCGCTGTGCCCGCTGTGGTGAGAATGTTGTTGGCGAAGGCACCGGCTGTACAGCCATGGACCAAGTCTTTCATGTGGACTGCTTCACCTGCATCATCTGCAGCACCAAGCTCCGCGGGCAGCCCTTCTACGCTGTTGAGAAGAAGGCGTATTGTGAGCCCTGCTACATAGTAAGTGCTTGGACCCCTTCCCTGTCTGGTGACTCCCATCTCAAAGGGAGGGTCAGCGCCTCATTCTCTCACTACTCATTGACTTATTGAAACTCTGCTTGTGCCAGGATATGACTTCGATGTATCAACAAGATGTGTCTTCAGCCCACAATGACAAGGCAGGGCTGAAAACCCTCCAACCTCCTCCTTCCTCCCCAGATCCCAACGTGGCCTCTATACACAAAGCCCTGATCGTCTCTCTCCCCACTGCCCCATTTTATTTGTGCACTGCAGGGTTCAGTCTGTGGTTCATAGCAGGCCCTTTACAAATGCTAGCTGATTAACTTGTTCAGGGAAACATTGTCCTCCTCTTAGCTCCATTGGGTGCTGTGTGGAAGGAATCTTAAAAAAAAAAAAATGCAGTTAGGAGATACCTGGGTTCTTCTCTCATCTCCATCACTTGCTAGTTGTATGACCATAGGCTAGGTGATTAATCTTTCTGAGCCTTACTTTCTTCAGCTGTATAATGGGAATAATAAATACTTCCTTCATCTACCTTACAAGGATGTTACAAGAATCAAATTAAATTATGTATCTAAGTCTCTTTGTAATTCTTTAAGAATTATGCACATAGACATCATTGTTAATCTAAGAGAAAAAGTGGTACAGGGGGACCCGTAATGAAAAGACAGCTAGTATACTCTGAAAAGAACATTGGTTCTGGAGGCAGAGCCCTAGGCTTTAACCATACCCTTGCCATGTGGTAACTGTGTCACCTTGGACACTGCTTGACCGCTCCAGGCCTCAGTTAACTCATCTGTAAAAGGACAGAGCTGTACCAGGCGGCCTTTGAGGTTCTTCCTAGATCTGGGCTCTTGATCCAATGACACCCTAAACTGAATTCCCAAAGAGCACAACTGTTCATTAAAAAAAAATCATGTTTCTTAATCAATAATTATCCAGTTACAAAATCATAACCCTAGAATGTTTGAGCTCAAAGGGACCTTTGAGATGAGAGAATCAAAGGATCACGCACTTGCAGCTGGAAGAGAAATTAGAGGTAATCCAGTCAAACCTTTCCATTTTACGGACAAGGAAACTGAGGCCCAGTGAGAGGAGATCCTATCCCCCTCAAGGCTGCACTCTGTATTTTGAGACAACTCCACTGACTAAGAATTGGAGACGTCCTGTCAGTGCTCAGACGAGGAGTGACAAAGCCAAGACTGGTCAGCAGGCCTCCTAAAACACCGTCTCTTCATGGTGGGCCCTTTTTGACTCATTCTAACTGCTGGGCTTCTCAAAACCTGCCTGTTTCTGTGATGCAGCATGTCTGGTTTCATCTCGTGGGTTTTTCCTACTAATCCTTCATTATAGCTCACAGCAAAAATGAATTAATACCAATACTCTCTGAGTTAATCACTGCTTACTTTCAAAAGCAAACATAACGTGTTTTCCAATAACCCCAGTTAGCATTTCAGAAGTGTCTTCCTAATTCATCATTGTGGGTTAACAAAACTCACTCTTTCTTGGTGGGATGGATTTCCAAATTCAAATTTTCTTAATCTACCTGCCGTGGTATAACTGATCAGCTTTGTGAACCCAAACATTGCTACTGTTCTGTTTTATTTTAGTTTTTTTCTAAAGGACCATGTAGTCATGGCATGAGGTGGAAGGCAGGGTGAGAAAAGATGTGCTCTGGGGTCTGGGGTTCGAGTGTAGTTTTTGTCACTTATGTGGCCCAGGTCAACTCACTTTTCTTTTATGGGCCTGCGAGCAGGTCCCTAAGACCCGGGTACTAAGTGATAGGTGGGTCTGATCTGATTTAATGTTGTTTAGTGAAATCCCAGATCATTGATGCCTTTTTGGACTCGTGTCTAAGGTACCTCAGGTGCTGCTGAGCTACGGTGGTCTCTTCCTCCCTGGATTTGCAGCGGTAGAGTCTGAAGACCTGGGTTCAAATCCTTTGTATGACAAGTATGACCTTGGGCAAGTCAGTCTTCCTGACTTTCATTTTCTCCGTCCCCTGGAGTTCCCATCTGGGCCTAAGTCCTACATCCTGGAAGTTGCCCCAGCAGCTGCCATCTTGGGGCTTTTATGTCTGCTTTCGGAAAGGCTCTTTCATCCCCTCCCTCGTTGGGTTTTCTGGCTTTCTCTGTCATTGGGTTGGCATGGTCCCTACCAGCCCTAACTCCTCCACTGGTGTTCTTCCACACCCTTCATCTAGTCTAAGAGGGGGTGCTTGAGCTGAGTTTTAGAGTCAGGACGACCTAAGTGTGAGTGCTCACTCAGATATTCTGAAGGTACAAATTCTAAGAGGTAGTCAAGAAGAGCAACTTCGTTCCCAAAATAGGGTGACAGGTTGAGTAAAGGCATGGTGAGTGGAGATAAGATGTTGCTCCAAAAGATGAGCAGGTCAATTTGCCTGGAATGTAGAGTTTTTGAAGGGGATCAATGATGGCTAAGCTTGGACTGAAGCCAAGTTGTAGAGAGCATTCAAAGTCAAACAGAAGAGTCACCCACCATTTTGTTTTAGCGTCAACAGGGAGCCATTAGAGATTTTTGAGTCAAGGAAAAATGTGGTCAGACTTTTGCTTTAGAAATATTACTTTTGCAGCTGTGATGAGGTTTTCCCTCTCTAAAAATACTACCATAGCCACATATATTCCATAGTGTGTGTATATGGTTAAGGCCATAGTTGTAATTTTGTATTTGTATTATATATAAATATATATATATATATCTATACACACACACACACACACACACATACATATTCATATTCAGAAGCAATGTTGATGACTAAATTGAGTATATAGAGCCATGAACTTGGAGTTAGGAAGACCTGGGTTCAAATCACACCTTAGCAACTTATTAGCTTTGTGACCCTAAAAAGTTCATTCCCCCTCTTAGGCTTCTGCCTCCTCATTTATAAAACAAGAAAGTTGGACTCCATGGCCTGTTTCCTTCCGGCTTTAACCCTAAGTTCCTGAGATTCTCTATCTATGATCCTTAGCTATATAAAGCTTCACCTATCTCCCCCATAAGCAAGGGCTAAGATCCTCAATTCTTTAGTCGAGATGCCTCATTCACACCTTCGTTATCCCTTCCATGTTTATTTTCCATCCCTGAAATGTGCTGAAGTTCAGAAGAAATAGGGGACATCTGGGAAGTATCCATTCCCAAGAACTAGAAAAGCCCAATGGTTATAGGTGAAGGGAGCTCTTCTTGTTTGAGCGTATCCCCCTCTCACTTGGAGATTTGATGGAGTTCCTTCTGGAAGCAGGGAACATCCACAGGTCCCTAGGGCAATGGAGTTGAATTCTCATGCAAATTCAGTTAAGTTTTGCTACAAGGCCCCCAAACAATATTTATTCATGGCGTTTAGCTCAGTATTTGGAGTTGAGATGATGGTGCTTGGGTCAGGATTTTCATCAATTTGCAGGCATCTGGATGCAGTTTTTTCAGAGGCTGCCCCATATTTTGCTCTACAAATGCACAATTGATTAAAGTGTCACTGGGGATGGAGGAGGCCGGTGAGGCTCATGAGAAGCTGAGCTCGGGATCAAATTGCCTTCCAGGCTAATCTGAACAAAATAGCAAACCCTGGAATCACCCAGTGGAGAGCAGAAAGGGATCTTATCCCACCCCTTTCATTGTATGATGAGGAAACTGGGACCCAGAGAGAAGAGATTGCTCAGTAGCACCTAGGGAGTAAGTGGCACCACCAGCATGTCGCTGCTAGTCGTCTGACATCACTTCCAGGGCTCCTTCCATGACAACATGTTGCAGATACTGTGTCCACCAATAGAGTTTTCAGGAAGAGATAAAACGTTACCTTTGACCCACTTTCTGTCTCCTATTGGTTCTGGAACACCAAAGAGGACATTTCCCCTTCCATTCACTATCTTTGGTACTCACTCCATCTCTTGGTTTGGGTCAGGCCCCATGGAGATAGGAGAAAACACAGAAATAATTCAATGGCCTACTGGTCTTGTGATTAATTCATGGCTCCAAGGAATTTGCAAAACAATGGTAGAGATGATGATAGCTGCCTTCTGTAGTGTCACTTCTTTACCCAGGTCCTCCACTCACAGCCCATCTTGGTGTAGAGGTGCCAGGGAGCTCTTGAAGCCTCCGCCACTTGGATCCAGCTAAGATGGAAACATTTCACAGATGTGGACCAGTGTTTGGGAAAGAGCTTCACGAAGCTGACGAAGCCCATCACCAGCATGACCACAGGCTAGGAGCATTTTCAGCCTCCGCAACTCTCAGATTCGCTCACTTACCCCTCAGATAGATAGATAGATAGATAGATAGATAGATAGACAGACAGACAGACAGACAGACAGACAGACAGACATACAGACAGACAGACAGACAGATAGATAGACAGACAGACAGACAGACAGACAGACAGACAGACAGACAGACAGACAGATAGATAGACAGACAGACAGACAGATAGATAGATAGAATGATACTCCATCCTCGTTGGTGAATGGAAGAGCCACAACACCTACCTCCCAGGGTTGATGTGATGATGGAATGAAATCTGATTTGTAAAATATTTGTAAAGCACTTAGCACAGTGCCTGGCACATAGTAGATGGTTACTTAATGCTTAATAAAAGCAATCATATGTCATATCTGTAACTTGAACTTGGAGCTGAATTAGCTCATTTATCCTTTCCTACAAATGGGCAAGGATCTGAATTGAACTTTTTTAGGTTACAGAGAAAGATGTAGTGCTTCGAGTGCTGGCCTTGCAGTCAAGAAGGCTGGGTTCAAATCCTACCTCAGACACTGATTGGCTGTGCAACCCTGGGCAGCCTCTTTTGGCTCCAGGGTGATGTTCTGTAAAATTAAGGAGCTGAATGCAGTGATCTCTAAGGTAACTTAAAACTCAGAAGCTCTGACCTTGCAATAACCCTTGAACAGTGTGAAGATTGTCTAAATGTGCCAAGTTTCATTCCAAGCCAGGTCATAGGATTTAGTGTGCACTTACTGTATGGCAGCTACTAG